GTGTCACTATCCGCTTTGCTGGATCAGTGTGGGAGGCAGGAGAAATTTGTCATTGATAGTAAACCGTATTTCCTACAGTGGTCCAGCTTTATTGTATTAAACCACATTTCCTGTGAATGCAATCCCTCTTGTTCATCTGTAGGTCCCCATCTTTAAAAAGGTCGTCCTCCAGGATTTATTTTGTTTTACAGCATCATCACATTCTTTTGGGGTTGTGCTGGGTAGCTTTAGTGTCAACCTGGGTTGAGGGAGCCTCAGTTGGGGAATTGCCTCCATTGGACTGACCTGTGGCCATGTCTGTTGTCCTTTGTTCTTGTAGGCCTAAGAATCTATGTAATATTTGTATGTAATACAGGCATAAGCCTGTGAAAGTTTTAAAAATATTTTATTACTTTTATTTTATGTGTATGAATATATTGCCTGCATGTAGACAAGTGTGTGCATGCCAGGGGAGGTCAGAAGAAGGCATTGGATTCCCTGGAAACTTGAGTTACAGGCAGTTGTTAGCCATCTTGTGGGTGCTGGGATTTGAACCTGGGTCCTCTGCAAGAGCACTCAGTGCTCTTAACCACTGAGCCATCTCTTCAGGCCCTGCTTGTAACTTTTTAAAATATTCCTTGTAGGGGAGATGTGCTTGGCAACAAATACTCTCAATTTTTGTTTCACTGAGAAAGTCTGTTTTTTCCCACACTGGAAAGATCGTTCCCTGGATATAGAATTTTATGTGATGGGTGTTTTTCTTTCAGTACTTTATTTCATCCCTTTTCTTCCTGCTTGCATGGCTTCTGACTAGGCATGCACTCTAATTCCTGTCTAGGTATAGTGCTCCCTGACCCATCCCACCTGCCCTTGGTTTCTTTTAAGATCCCCTGTTTGCCTTAGGTTTTATAGTCTGATTATTGGAGGTGAATGTAGTTTGGATATTTGCCCTGCTTGGTGTTTGTTCTTGGCTCTCCTCAAAATTATGATTTGGTGCCTGCCGTTCAGACACCAAGCTTCCTCAGCATCGTACTTTAAATACCCCTGCTATCCTCTTCTGATCTTCCGTGCTCTGCTGTTAGGCTGGTGGGTGCTGTGGTTTCTTAACTGTGGAGTATCTGTCTAGTCAGTGTTTCGTTTCTGTCCTCTGTCCTCTTTCAGCCTGAGAAGCTTCCGTTACCTATTTCACTTCTTCCTCTGTCTGCATATGTTCATGAGCTTTTCCATACAGCCTTCAGTTCTATGTTTTTATTTCTAGGACTTATTTTTTATTCATGTTTAAAGTTTATATTTTGCTGTAAATTATCTTATATTTTGTTTGCTTTTGCATTGTAATCCTTAACATACTAATCATAGTTACTTCAAATTCCTCAGCATAGCTCAGCACCTGTGTAATATCTGTCTGCTTCTCATCATGATTTCTCTTTTTTAGGATTTTTTTTCTTGCCTACGGGTATGCCTTACTTTATTTTTTGTTGTTGTTGAAAGAATGTGCCCGATAGTAAAAATTCAAGATGAAAAGATATTTTAATATTTTTTCTGTGAAGCTGTACGTTAAAGAGCTAGCAATCGAGCCTCTATTCTTGGCGACAGTTTCCAAGAGCCCTGAATGCCTGAAACCATAGGTGGTGGCAGACCATGTGTACATGTTGTATTTTTCCTATAAGCACATGCCTGTGATAGTCTTTATAAAGTAGGAACAGTAGGAGATGAAAACAATAATAAAATAGAACACTTACATGTGCTAGTACAACTTACATGAACATGTTCTCCTGTACCACAGTTATCTTCTTCTAGTGCTAACATCAAGTGGTGGAAGGAGAAGAAGTGTTGGGAAGGTTGAGGGTAATTCTCCTCTGTAGGGTGATCTGAACACAGGACTGTGATACCAAAACAGCTGATCTGATTAACAATGTGTTCTTCAGTGACTGACAGGTAGCATCTACCACATAGCTATGCTGGATGAGATGCCTCACATTCCACGTGCACAGAGTATGATTTCTTCACACAGCTGATAGTAGGACATAACGTAAAGCATGACCTGTTTATTTAGAATTTCCCATTTATATTTTTGGGCCCCTGTTTACCCCGGGAAATTGAAATCAGAACACTGAGACGTCTCACATTCCACGTGCACAGAGTATGATTTCTTCACACTACTTATAGTAGAGTACAACCTAAAACACGACTTGTTTATTTCTAGAAATTCCCATTTATATTTTTGGACCCTCGTTTACCCTGGGAAACTGAAATCAGAACACAAAAAAACAGCTGGTAAGGGGAACACTATCAGAAACTTTAGATTGCTCGTGCTGCTTTGTTTGAGTCCTATGGTTCAGCTTGGCTTATGGTTACACATCCCTCAGCAAGCATCCTTATCTTGTTAGTTTGTGCTGTGATCTGCTATAACATTGGAGCTGCCTTCTAGTGATGGGTGTACACGGGAGAGGGAACACTCTGATGTTTCTGACCAGTCCTTGTCCTTTAGTGTGGCTGTGGACTTCCTGGGGGATATTTTTCCCCACTCTTGTTTCCCCAGGTAGAAATTGGTTTTACAGCTCTGCTTTTGCAAAAGCTATTTTCTTAGGACTTGAAAAGGATGTGTTTGAGGTCTTTGCCAGGACACTGGTAAGACTCCTGAAAACTTATACAGTGTCTCTTAACTGACACTATTTATAGCACCAAGCTAACTGGTCTCAGGCCTTCCTCACCCTTATGCCAGTCCATAGCAGACCTCGGACAATTCCCACATTGGTGTCGCTCTCCTTTTGTGTCTCCTGTGCCTCTGCAGCCTGCAGATCTCCTTTGCTGGGTATCAGTGTATGGGTCTAAATCCCTAATGAGCAGACAGGACCACTAATAAGTAATAAAGATGGCACACTTCCTGCTTCTTTTTGGTCTGAGACAAAGGCCTAGGAGCTCACCAGCCAGCAAAGCCCCTTTTCTGGCTCACCAGACCAGAACAATTCAGACAAGACTAAGCCTGGCCCTGGCAACTTGAAGCTGTGACCTATACACTGACTCTTCTTTGTTTAAGTTGACCAATCCAAAATCAGGGGATGGGGATGTCCCCCCATACCAGCAAAAACATTTCAGGGGCCCAAGCTTTCCTCATGGCTTTGAATGTTTGTTTTCTGAACTGTCTCCACTTCTGAATAACTTTTCTCTCTGTATGTTTATTGGTATCTTTCTTTAATGAAGTCTGTTTACCTATTGCTTTCTGCTGTGTGAGATTTTTTTCCTGCCTTTTAAATCTTTACTTGAATGAGAAAATGAACCCCATCAAAACCCCTAGAAAATAATGTTAGGATACGGTCAACTCTGTAGACCTTAAGGTAGCAGTTTACCTAAAGATTAAGTTCTCTGATGAATCTAAGAAAGACCATTGGTTATGTGTGTATAGGTTTGTCTTGTAAAGCAGTAGTGGTAACCCTTCTGGAGGTAATTAGGACTAGTTGAGGTCATAAGGCTGCCTGTGATGCTGACTTTATAAGAGCAAGAGATGCCTGAGCTTATACCATGCTCCATCTCATCATGGACTGCCCTCTGCCATGTCAGGATGCAGCGTGACACTCACCAGAGGCTGGGCTGTACTCTGGGACTCCCAGACTTCCAGACCTGAGCTCAATAAGACAATACTCTATATGTCCCCGGTTCTCTTGTGTTCAGCTATTGCAAGGAAGACAGGCTAACACATGGACAACCTTGGGGTTCCCTAGCCCCGCACAGGTTCTTTATTGGTTTTCTAATTAATTTATATTTTTGTCATCTGAAAACAGTCATTTCTTCTGTCTCTCTGAGATGGTTTAATAAGGGTTTATTGTGTCTTCTTTTTGTGTACATTGTTTCTGTTTCCTCCTAGGGCTTTCTATTCCTGTTTGGTTTTGGTTTCTGTTTTGTCGTCTTCTGGTTTTTGTTGTAGTTGTTTTGAAATTTCCTGGTGACGGTTTCTGGAATGGACACAGATCATGTGACAAAGGAACCTAATCCATGTCTTTATGTAGATACCAGCAGGGAGTTAGTGGGAGATGAGTGGAAGAAATGCAGGCCAGTGTGATGGTTCACCTGGAGAGCTGGCAGATGCTCTGGCAGTGGTCCAGCAGGGTGTTGAGATTGTGGAGGACATATATTGTTAGGCTTAAAGACCTGAGCAAAGAGGACTGGAGGAATGGTTCAGTGATTAAGAGCCCTGGCTGCTCTTGCAGAAGACCCAGGTTTGGTTCCTAGTACCCACATGACTACTAACAACTGTCCCTGACTTTCCAGAGGATCCATTGCCCTCTTTTGGCCTCCCTGTGCATACACTTGCATAGATGCAGGCAGAACACTCATGCATTTGAAAAAAAAAAAATTTAAATGTAAGTTTGAAAAAAGAAGACCTGAGCAAAGAGCTCAGATACATAAAGGGGCTGGACTGAACAATAGTATTCCTAACAAATACCTTGTAGGGGGATGTGCCCTAGCTGCCTAACTGGTTTATCCATTGACTTTAAACCAAGGACCCTGCACCCTCTTTCGTAGTATGGGTCTCTTGGGTTTTTATTTTCAGGAGAAACTGGTTCCACAAAAATTTGAAAACATTAGCTAGAATTAGAGCCCTCTCCACGGCTTAAATATGTTTAATAGCAGGCCAGTAAGCAGCATTCCAACGTGGCCTGTGCTCCAGCTCCTGCCTCCAGGTTCCTGCCCTGAGTTCCTACCTTGGGCTCCCTGATGAACTGTGACCTGGGAGATGTAAGACAAATAAACCCTTTCCTCCCTAAGTTGGTAGTGGTCAGAGTGTTTTGTCACAGCAATGAAGAAACAAAGTAGGGCACAGACCTCTTAATATTTTTTTTTAATTTCAGTTTCATCTGTGAACAATAAAGTTTCTTCAAACTTTCAGAGTTTCAAAGACATTAAAGTTTTGAGTTTTAGAATGTTAATTATAAGTTTAGAGCATATAGCATTTAAAAAAATAATAAATATAAAAAGTTAACCTTAAATATCGACTTATAACTAAAATAATGTTACTTTTACAGAAAAAGACACCATGGATGTATGGTGCAATGGTAAAAAGATGGAGACAGCGGTAAGTTGACCTTTGATTGTCCCTAGTGCCATGTGTATAAGTGACCAGCGGATTGCTGCATTTCCTCATTCTGGAGCTTTCTTTTTTTTTTTTTTTTTTTTTTTTTTTTTGAGATGAGGTTTTGTTGTGTATCTCAGTTTCACCTCAAAAATCACAGAGTCCCTGAGACTTAACCCTCTCCTAAGTGCTGGTATTGTAAGAATGCACCATCAGAACCAGCTTCCAATTTTGGTGCTTTTATAATGAACTAAGGTGTTCTTGGTAAAACCAAATGGAAGATTATTCTTGACTCTGAATTCTGACAGTCTTTCCCAGACAGTTCCTGGGGGCAGGGAGAGCTTGGAAACAACCAGTGGTCTCAGCTGGCATAGCCCCATAGTACCTCACCTCTCCTGGACAGGCTCCTATCCTAAAGAGTCTTGACATTCAAAAGGTTCCCCCTGCGAACTGCTACCCTCCTGTGTGTCTTCATCTGAAGTATGCATAGCAATCTCCTGGGACCTTGTTAAAATGCAAATTTCATTGCCCTATGTGTTGCTGGCCACAGATCACACTTGGAGTATGAAAGCTTTGTACATAAAAACAGTGGTACATTTCTAAAAGCACTGTGTTTGGAGAAGTAGTGTTAGAAAAGGGCACTGCCACAACTGCCGGAAGATGAATGCAATTTGTAGTCCAGCAGGGTCAAGGTGAGAGGTAAGAGCCTCCAAAAACTGAGGCCAAGCGCCCTGCAAAACCCATCCAGGCTCCAGTGCACTCGGTTTTTGCTCTCAGGTGCTGTGGTCCTTGTGGCTGAGAGCAGAATGGGTGTAGGAGTGAATTTCAAGCAGAAGCATTAACATTGGTGTGGGACTGGGAGCTGAAGTCACTGGGTGGAAGATCTGTCTTTCAGTCTTCTGGCCATACAGGAAGTACTACCCCTGCTACCCAGGCTCACACTCCGAGGGGGAACACCAGGGCTGGCAGTGGCTAGCAGCTCCCTTCTCTTACGATGGATTGTGGATGCTCATGTGTGTTTATATTACAGGTGTAAAATAATAAGTCAGGGCTCGAAGGGAGGTTTGGGGGGGATCTTAGTTGACCACCTCAAACCTGCTAGATCTTGCAGCTGTCTGTCTCTGAGGAGGTACCAGAGCCAGAAAACCAGTTCGCAAACATGAATACTTTTTCTTAAGCCTGGGAAATGTAACGTGGCTCACTCAGACTTGAACCCCAGTACTTAAGCTTCCCTGGGATAGACCTGATGATAGAGGCTTCCTTCATGCAGAGGCCAGAGAGTTCTCCAGGCTCTAATGGCCCCTGTAAGAGTGGCCATTACCATGGATATGGCCAGGCACCTATTGTGTTTCCCAGGGCCAGACTCAGTGGCCCTTCCTTTTCATCTAACCCTCAGATTCTCTAGCTGGAGAATCAGCACTTTGCACATGTTCCCTCCCACTCTCAAGGAATCGTCTAATGCGATGAGAATGCAGCTTTGTTTATTAAGAATTTACTTTTAGCTGGGCATGGTCGTGCACGCCTGTAGTCCCAGTACTTGAGAGGCAGAGGCAGGCGGAGCTCTGTGAGTTCAAGGCCAGCCTGGTCTACATAGTGAGTTCCAGGACAGCTGGGGCTATAGGGAGACCCTGTCTCAAAAAAGACCCCCCCCCAAAAAAATAATTTGCTTTTAAAGGCCAGGGTTGGAGCTAGAGAGGGCTCAGGAGTTAAAAGTGCTTGCTGCTCTTGCAGAGGACCTGACTTCAGTTCCTAGCACCCACATCAGGCACCTAATAAGTGCCTGAAACACCAGCTCTAAGGACCTGAAGTCTTGCTCTGGGCCCTGTGGGTGCGTGTGGGTGTACACACACACACACACACACACACACACACACACACACACACCCACCCCAAAAAAAAAAAAAACATTGAAAATAAATCTTTAAAAAATTATATGAAGGCTAGGGTGTAGCTCAGTAGAACACTAACCTAAGCCTGTCTGAAGCCCTAGCTTCCATCTTCACCACTGCAAAAATAACAATAATAGTTTTCTAGAAACTACTAGTGCATATTATTTGTGCAGAATAATGGGTCTCGTGGTTTCTTTACTTCTTGACATAATTCTTTTCTATCCTCCAAGCCCGCCGGCCACCCATTCTGCCTTCCTCCCTCCCAGTCCCCTCTCCCTTCCTTTCTTTCTGTCCTGTCCAGCTCTGCTGTCTTTTTGCTCTCAGTCAGTGCTGTTCAGTAGAAATATATGAGCCATAAATATGAGACTTGGTATAATTTCAACTTTCCTAGTAACAGCACAAAAAATTAAAATGAATTAATGTTTGATTTAAATCAATATATCAAAAATGTATCATTTAACATGTAATTAACAAATGAAGTTAGTAATTATTTGTTGTCTTATACTAAGTCTTCAAAGTCAGGCACTTAAGCAGTGCCTCTCATTTCAGACTCAAGGTTGAAGTGCTCAGTGGTGTTAGAGGTGTTTAGTTTATGTTATGTGTGTATTTTACTACAGATTTCCAGGTCAGAAACCTTCCCTCTCTCCCTGGATGGGCTTTCAGCAGGCTATTTAACTATGTTGTTCCTCAGTTTCCTTATTAAAATGGGTGTACTAGCTGTAGCACGGTAAGAGCGAAGCTGATGAAATGATGCATCTGAGCTAGGAAAGTGTAAGAAACCAAGAAACGTCTGCTGCTGTGCTCACCAGTTTTATTCTTGTAAACCTCGTGTGTGCCACAGACATAACTGTGATTTTATAATGTGCAGATTTTATAATGTACACTATCCAGACGCAGCCTTTGTACTCTAATTTTGCAAAGTTTAACACATAACTAGCATATTATTTCATTTTGCGACCAGCAGTTTTAGATGATGTGAGGCTCTGACAAAGAGAGTTCTGGAACTCTGACCATTCTTCCACTGTTGTCCTAGGGTGAGTTTGTAGACGACGGGACGGAAACACACTTCAGTGTTGGGAGCCATGACTGCTGTATAAAAGCTGTCAGTAGTGGGAAGAGGAAAGAAGGGATTGTTCACACACTCATTGTGGATAACAGGGAAATCCCAGAGATTCTTAAGTGACTTCTCGTTAATGAATTTTGAACTGAAGAAGTGACATCAGGACTTGTGAATGGCTGTGGTAATTAAATGTCTTCAGTATGTACATATCAGTAGATTTAGTCTGCAATTTTTTTTTTTGTTGTTACGTGAAACTGTAATATTCCAACAGTCAGGACAAACGTGGAACCATAAAATTTACAATTTATTTTTTAAATAAAGTGTTTTAAATTCAAGTGGAGAATAAGATATGGACCAAAATCACTAACACATCACAACAAATAACTTTTACTATAGTAAATACTGTAAAATAAAATTGGTGCTGCTGATTGTGTGTCCCACAAGTGGGTTTGTCTTTACGTTTTTCACCTGTACAGACAGTTTACCTGTAATTTGAAGCAGTTGGTTCATAATGATACAGTTAGTATAACTCGAGAAAACAAGAAGTATTTTCAGTCTGGAAACATGCAGGAAATATCTAATAGTGTCATGTAAGAATTTAATTTAGTCAGGGGTCGGTGTTGCCCTTTAATCCACTTTAAAGTTAGCGCCTGGGAAGCAGAGGCAGCCGCAGGTGAGTCTCTGAATTCTGAAGCCAGCCTGGTTTATAGCAAGTTCCAGGTCAGCCTGAGCCACAGAGTGCCACCATATCTCAAAAGAAAAGAGATTGCTCAGTGGGTAAAGGCACCTGCCCCCAAGCCTCATGACCTGACTTCAATCCCAGAAACCCACATGGTGGGTGGAGAGAAAGTTGTCCTCTGAAATATGCTCTGTGACATGCATGCCCCCCCCCACACACACATACACACACACACACACACACACACACACACACACACACAGCTTTTAAAGAATTAAATTTAGGGGATGGAGAGATGGTTCAGCAGTTAAGAGCACGGCTGCTCTTGCAAAGGACCTGTGTTTGATTCCCAGCACCTATATAGCAACTAATAACCATCTGTAACTCCAGTTCCAGGGGAATCTGACGCCCTCTTCTGATCTCCTCAGGTATTGCACAACATGAGTGCACTTACATCCATGCAGATAATACACTCATACACATAAAATAAAAATAAAGTATTTTTAAAAAGAATTCAATTTAGAGTGTGAGTTTCTGAAAAGGTTGTTTTATTTAATTAACACTGTGAATGAGGATTGGGAGGATAAAGAGGAAAAGAGACAAATTCCTTATGAGGGACTGTGCTGATCTGATGAAAGGCACCCTCAGACAGTGTTTGAATGTCAGCCATGCCCACCTTTCCAGGTGCCACACCCACACCAGGCAATGGTTCTGTGGCCAATGAGCCTCCCTGGGTGGGCTGGCATGATAAATGCTCATGTGGTTTGTTTCCCTGCTCTTCTTTGAAGGTCTTCCATGGCAGCATTTGATACAGTAATAGAACCGCATAGTTGGGCATTTCACATTCATCATCACAGGCTGTGGGGGGTGTTATACATTTGCTAGACTTATTCTATCCGATGTCATTACCACTAGTTACATGGTTAAGTCCATTAAAATTAATTACAATAAGAAAAATAATCACTTTTGGCCAGGCATGGTGGTGCACACCATTAATCCCAGCACTCGGGAGGCAGAGGCAAGCAGATCTCTGTGAGTTCAAGGCCAGCCTGGTCTACGTAGTGAGTTCCAGGACAGCTGGGGCTACAGGGAGACCCTGTCTCAAAAGGACCAAAAAAAAAAAACGCCTTCGCCACATTCAAGGACTCAACAGTCCCGTGTGGCCAGCAGCTCCTTTAGTGGCTAATGCAGCTGTAGATGGTATCTGTCATGTCCCCAGTTCTGACAGCACTGGTCCAGACCCTGTCCTGGGCTTCAGGAGTCCCTCAGGCATGGTCTAGGTCCAGCCCACACCCAGTTATTCTGACAGGCCCACCCACACCCTTTATTGCTAGTTCTCCACATTAACAAGTTTCCAAGAGATTGGGGCAGAATGGAAGCAGAGCCAGGTTCTCATACCAGGAAAAAGGAACTGGGGCACTGGCGGTAATGGGGTTGGATCAGACATGCCTTGGCAAGGCAGGCAACATGCGTGATGACAAAGGGAACATACTACAAAGCCTCTGCATTTTCTTGCTAGTGTCCAAGATACCATAAGCTTTTTAATTCTTTCTTGAACTCTTGTTTTCAGAGATAAAAACCCGTGATACTCAGTGTCTGTGTGCCTCCACAAATACCTGGGCTCAGTTTGGTTCAGTCTTCCTGGAGACCTCACCTTGAGAATATAATTTTGCCTTTAACTGATGAATCATGTTTTGTTTGTATTTTAATTCAATGAAGCATGATAAAATGGAAGAAGCAGAGTTTGGGTTGAATGTTGGTATAGCAGGCCAGGTTCCTGAGTCTGGTTTCCCATGTTAAAACTGAGGCTCTTGTATCTTAAGATGTGAAGAAAGGGGTATCTTCATATTTAAAAAAAAAAAACAAAAAAAATCTTTGGGGCTGGAGAGGTGGCTCAGTAGTTAAGAGCACTTGCTGTTCTTCCAGAGGACCCAGGTTTGATTCCCAGCACCCACATGGCAGCTAGTAACTACTTCCAGGTCCTCAGGGTTGGCAAGTGCCTTTACCCACTGAGCCATCTTGCCAGTCCAGATGGGACTGTTTTTTCTGTTACAGTTATACAAACTTGGGGATACAGGAAGTTGTACACAGGTCTCATTAGTTCCCTAGGGCTGAGCTGTGAAGTTTACGCTATAGTAATTAGATAAAAGCTCAAGGAAAAATAGCAAACATTTATGATCACACATATATATAGAGAGAGGCTAAGTTTACAAAGATAGAAACTGGACAGAGGACAGTGAGGGTTAATCTTGATTGTTACCTTGATTAGATGGAGAAATGCCTAGGAGATTACTACTGTACGCCTCTGGGTATGAGGGCGTGAGAGAGGATTAACCATAGGGGAAGAGCTGGCCTAACTGTGCAGGTCCAAGCAGTAGGCTAAATGAAATGAAAGAAACCTGTGGACCCAGGCTGATGCTACTTCCAGGCACCATGGGGAGCATTTGATGCCACAGCTGTTCTCCCTCTCTATGAACCCAGAAACAGCCAGCCAACCTTGGACTGAAATCTCTAAAATTTTGATCCAAAATAAATCCCTTTGCCTTTTTAAAATCAGGTATTTTGTCAGAATGACAGGCCTGACTACGTGAAGAGAAAGAAGAATAGATCGAAGAGTGAGGTGGTAGGAAATCCTAAAATGCAGAAGGCAAAGCAAGAAGGTGTGAAAAGGACGTTAGCTGTTACTTAATCATTTATTTTTAGTTTATATGGATGAATGTTTTGCCTGCATGTATGTTAAGTGCACTGTGCATGGAATGCCTGTGGAGGCCAGAAGAAGGCATTGAATCCCCTGGAATTGGAGTTAAAGATGGTCATTAACTGCCGTGTGAGTGCTGAGAACTGGACCCAGGTCCTCTGCAAGAGCAGACAGTGCTCTTAACTGCTGAGTCATCTTGTCATTTCTCCAGCCCCGGAAGTTAGTGTTTTCTATTGCAGCTGAGGATGAAGTTCATGGTTATGGCTGTGTTCCTCCAGGCCTGACATGACCATGTTCATCTTGAAGCAGATTGTGATGACCTTAACCCTTGGCAGTCAGGGCACTGAAATAAACAGAACTATTGCAGATAGCTTGATGTATGGTAATAACATCGGGGCTGTTGCTGCTGCCTCCCCAAGGAAGGAGAAGGGTCGTAAGACCTCATGGCATTCCAATCACCACACCTTCTGGCCCAATAGAAGTAGAAGGTTCACTGGGATAGGACTCTTCACTGGTGCAGCTGCCTGTGAGTCACCCATGTTCTGGTAAGGAACCTCAGTAAGCTCAGCTATTTGCTGAGCTAGACTTAACAGAATCTCTGGACTTCCTGCCTATTTGAGGTGCATAGATTTTTTTTCTCTCTCTCTACAAAACACAAGGCACCAGTAGATCTGGCAACCTGGAGGATTTGGTGAGAAAATGAATAAAAATGGTCTCAATGAAATGAGACCATTAACTAAAGTGAGTGAGGAATTGATGGGGTCAATAGTAAAGATGGAAAAAGTAATGGTGACAACTTGAAGGCACCAGAAAGCTAAAAATGTAAGGATTCATTTGTCAACCAAGGTGCAGGAGAGAATGGAAGTCCAGGAAGATGGGCCACGCATTTGGACTTGTCCTGATTCCAGGACAAGAGGTCAAGAGTCTAAGCAATATATTGAACAACCTTGAAGGCTACAGAGTCCCAACACTGGGGGACTCTAACAAAACTCCTGTACTTAGCTAGGACCCCAAAGAACAACACTTAAAGAAAAAGCATTTGGGGCTGCCAAGTTGACTCTGGGTAAAGGCGCCTGCCACCAAGACCGATGACCCAAGTTGATTGCCGAGACCCACATGTTGGAAGGAAAGAACTGACTCCTGCAAGCTGTCTTCTAACTCCACACGTGCACCACGGCTTGCTCCCCACCCCCACACAATAAATGTAATTTAAAAAGAAAACCAGCATTGAGTTACCTCAAAGAAAGTAAAGGCGTAGTACAATTGAAAGGACCGAGGAGAACTGAAAAGTACGAAAGTGAGGTAGTTCCTCAGGTAGAGTTGGGGCCTCTTACCTACTTCCTCACATCTAGGCTGGGATTTTATCCGGTTTGAGCTTGCATAGGATTTGTGCACGCTGTCACCGTTGCTGTGAGTTCATATGAGTAACTGACCAGCTGTCTGGAAAACTTTCCTTGTGCTCATCTCTGACTCTTACAGTCTTTCACCCCCTCTTCTGAAATGATCCCTGAGCCTAGGGTTGGGGGTAGTGAGGGGGAGGGTGCAGATAAGGGAGGAGATAGAAATATGTTTGAAATGTATAAAAGTTTTGCAAAAATTCAATTAAAACTTAAAAAAAATTTTGTGTATGAATGTTTTGCCTGCATGTATGTGTGCTTGTCCATGGAGGCCAGAATGAGGCATCAGATCCCCTGGAACTGAGGATTTTTGGCCACCAGGTGGGTGCTGGGAACCTATGTCCTCTGCAAAAGCAGACCGCTATTAACCGCTGAGCCATTTCTCCAGCCCCTAAGTGTTTTAAGTGAAAGTAAGAACTCAAAACCAGGTCTGGTGAGATGTTTCAGGGGTTAAAGGCACTTGCTGCACAAATTTGATGGCCTGAGCTCCATCCCCAGATCCCACAGTGAAAGGAGAAAACCCATTCTCACACGAGTTGTCATCTGACCACACTGATTTGCACACACACACACACACACACTAAAAGTAAAAGTTGGGGGAAAAAAAACAGCAGTAAACTGGAAAGTAGGTGAGAAGAAAATCTACCAGAAAAA